TGGAGGACAGATGCAGAAGTAGACCATGCCATGGCTTTGTCAGGACTGGAATAGGGAGTACGTCTAAGAATGAATGACTCAGAAGAAGAACACTCGGGTGGGGGTAGGGGGTGGTAAGGAGACGCAGCCTTTGACCTGAGTGAGACTTGCTAGGCAAGCAGGAGTGTAGCAGGTGGACAGAGAGGCCTGGAAGTGGGAGAAGCATGATACACAGTTGGACTACAAGTAGTTCAGTGTGCAGGAGCAGAGAGCTGGAAGCCCGCGTGGGCTGGATGAGCCTGGAAACCCTGCAGGACTGTGGAGGCCATAATGAGGGGTCTGGGCTCTCCCAAGGAAGTATGCTGAGGTGGAGCTGGGGCCTGGAGTTGAGGCTGAGTCTGCTTAGTTTGTACTGGTCTTCCCTCAGGCAGACAGGCATGGGGCTGGTGGGCATCTTCTCAAGGATCGGAGGCATCCTCACACCACTCGTGATCCTGCTGGGTGATTACCAGGAGGCCGTCCCAATGATCATCTACGGTACCCTCCCCATTGTGGCAGGCTTACTCTGCATCCTGCTGCCAGAGACATGGGGCCAGCCCCTAAAGGACACCATCGAGGACCTGGAGCAAGGGCCCCACCCACGGTGAGCTGCTTCCTTTCTCTGAAGCCCAGGCCCTGGGCCTCATATCAGTGGCCTCTATCCCAGAAGCCCAGGCCTCTACCTCATCATGTGTCCATTGTTGCTTAGAGGCCAATACTGGGCCCTCAGGAACCACAGACATCTGATCAGCTTTGGGTTAGATTCTTCCTCATTTGGGGAGGGGATGGGGAGGAACGCTGCCATGGGACCAATTCCTGGTCAGCCAGTAACAGCCTGCTGCTCCCTCCAGGTCTCTGAAGTCAGCACCCTCAGAAAATGACAAAGAAGCCCCACGAGGATCTTCCTGCACGGAAGTGGCCTCTGTGAGCAGCACACAGTTCTGATTGTGTCTCCAAGAGCCAGACCAGCAGCAGCAGGGAGCTGCCTAAATTTTCCCCTGATAATAGCTGGGACCTATGAGCAAGTCCAGCCTTACTGACGGAGGCAGCACCATGGCCTGCCCCACTGGCAGCACCTGCTGCTGAGCCCAATCTCGGAAGCATCATCACCTTTCTTGTCCCAGAGCCCTACGCCCAACACCCTGTTCTGGGTTAGGGTCTTGGGCCTATCTGTTCTCTGATAGTCTTGGTAGGGGTATGGCTCCCCTGACACCCTCAATCTGGAGTCCCTCTGCCCTCAAAACGCAGTCAAGCCCAGAACGAAACAGCTAGGTAGAGCCTTTCCAAGTATGTGGGTGTAGGGGGAGAAAAAATTTGGAGTTGTGGAGTCTATGCAGGTAGGTGGGTGAAAAGGCTGTGGATGAAGAGAACGTTGTGGTTCCTTCTAGTGGCTGGCCCAGGCCCCTCTGGCTAAGGTGGGGGCCCTATAGGACATTTGATCTCGCTGAGAGAAGCTCTGTGTCCAGTCAAAATCAAAGCTTCAGTCTTGCGTTCTCTTCAAAGATGCTCCAGCCCCCTGCCTCCATCTCAGCTCACTGCTAACCTGTGTGGCTTTTCGAACCGATGATTTCATAAGTCCCTTTACACTGACCCTCAGGATTCTAATCTTGGGTGCCCTGGCTGGGTGTAAAAAGGAAAGGACTCTGGCAATCTGCCTCCAAGGTCCAAGGAGATAGAAAAGGAATGCCACCCCCCACCCCACCTAACAGCCCCAGGTTACTGCCAGGCACAGAGCAGGCTGAGTCCTCGAGCTTGGCTCTGACTCATACAGCCCTGAGCTTTGCCGTGCTCGCTGACCCACTCATGCTCTCATCAGTCAAGGAGGCCCTGAGTGCCTTGCCTTGGCTTTAGGAGCGCGCTAGAGCCAGAGATGCACAGTCCATCTGCAGCTACTCAACTGCTCCCCAGAACTCGGAAGAATGCTGTAGATGAGGAGGAGAGGACACTGCAGCGTTAAACAAGGCAGCTGTCCCAGCGTGTGAGGCTTGGAAGACCTCCCAGAGGAGGCACATCTAGGGAGAGAGCTGCAGGCAGGGGATGCAGGAGCCCTTTCGGGTAAAGACTAGCAATGGGCAGGTGCTGCAGCTGGAAGGATTTCTGGGAATTTGAGGAACCAGACCCAAGTGGGGCTCATAAGGCCACGTCCTTACCTTTGAATTTTGTTCTGAGGGCAATAAAAGCCATTGATTTTGTTTTTTCTTTAAGCAAAGAAGTAACCCAATAAGATTGGTATTTTAAAAATCACCGTCTATCTGAAGAATGTGTTAGAAGAGGGCAAAAGTAGAAGCAGAGACGCCAGGCAGGGCATCATTACAACACTGAAATTAATTGCAAACATTTATTACCTTGTTTTATCCTCACAACATTCTGATGATGAGATGGGGTGATGGCAGTGGAACTGGGAGGAGGCGAAGACGCTTTGGTTGGTCCTCCCCTGGCCTGTGCCCTGGGCAAGAGCTTAGCTTCTCAGTTCCCATTGGCTCTCCCCAGGAGAAGCTCCCTGGCTGCTGGGAGTAACCTGGTGCCCTCCTCAGAGAGGCCTCTGAGATTAAGAGCGCTAGACTGCACATCCTGTGTTTATGTCAATGTCCAAAGCCTAAGGCACCACCACGCTTCCCCAGCCATCTCCTCTACATCGCCACTGTCCCCCATGACTCCAGCCCCTCTGACCTGGCCCCATCCTTACCCAGTTCCACCCATGGTCTCAACCCTGTGTCTCTGAAACTGCTGCTCCAAATCCAGCAGAAGCCCTGTGTCTTCAGCCCTTCGTAGAAGTGTACTCCGTCTCCTGCCTCTTCCTCTGGTCATGCTTTCTCTCACAGCCCGGGAGCTGGGGTAAGAGCCTCTTTGCTCCCCTTGCTGCTGCTCAACCATTACAGTTCTTCCACGTATAAAAAAAACCTTCTCTTGAAAGTACTCAACATAATAAAGGCCATATATGACAAACCCACAGCCAACATCATACTCAATGGACAAAACTGAAAGCCATTCCTCTGAGAACAGGAACAAGACAAGGGTGCCCATTCTCACCACTCTTCTTCAACACAGTACTGGAGGTTTTGGCCAGAGCAATTCGGCAAGAAAAAGAAATAAAAGGAATCCAAATAGGCAATGAAGAAGTGAAACTCTTGCTGTTTGCAGACAACGTGATCTTATATATAGAAAACCCCAAAGAATCCATAGGAAAACTATTAGAAATAATCAACAGCTAGAGCAAAGTCGCAGGGTATAAAATTAACATACATAAATCAGTAGCATTTCTATACTCTAACAACAAACTAACAGAAAAAGAACTCAGGAACTCAATCCCATTCACAATCGCAACAAAAAGAATAAAATACCTTGGGGTGAATTTAACCAAGGAAGTGAAAGACCTATACAACGAAAACTACAAGACTTTCCTGAAAGAAATTGATGATGATGACATAAAGAGATGGAAAGACATTCCATGCACATGGATTGGAAGAATAAACATAGTTAAAATGTCCATACTACCTAAAGCAATCTACAGATCAGTGCAATCCCAATCAGAATCCCAATGACATTCTTTACAGAAATTGAACAAAGAATCCTAAAATTCATATGGGGCAACAAAAGACCCCGAATTGCTAAAGCAATCCTGAGAAAGAAGAACAAAGCTGCAGGCATCACAACCCCTGACTTCAAAGCATACTACAAAGCTACAGTAATCAAAACAGCATGGTACTGGTACAAAAACAGCTGCACAGATCAATGGAACAGAATTGAAAGCCCAGAAATAAAACCACACATCAATGGACAACTAATCTTCAACAAAGAAGCTGAGGGCCTACAATGGAGAAAAGAAAGTCTCTTCAACAAATGGTGCTGGGAAAACTGGAAGCCACATGTAAAAGAATGAAAATTGACCATTCTTTTTCACCATTCACAAAAATAAACTCAAAATGGATCAAAGACCTAAAGATTAGACCTGAAACAATAAGTCTTCCAGAAGAGAATATAGGCAGTACACTCTTTGACATCAGTATTAAAAGAATCTTTTCAGACACCATAACACCTCAGAAGAGGGAAACAATAGAAGGAATAAACAAATGGGACTTCATCAGACTAAAGAGCTTCTTCAAGGCAAGGGAAAACAGGATTAAAACAAAAAAACAACCCACTGGTTGGAAAAAAATATTTACAAGGTATATATCCAACAAAGGGTTAATCTCCATAATATATAAAGAACTCACAAAGCTCAACAACAAAAAATCAAACAAGCTGATCAAAAAATGGGCAGGGGACATGAACAGGCATTTCTCCAAAGAAGATATACGGATGGCCAATAGACACATGAAAAGATGCTCCTCATCACTAATCATCAGGGAAATGCAAATCAAAACTACACTAAGATATCACCTTACACCTGTTAGAATGGCAAAAATATCCAAAACAAAAAGTGACAAATGTTGGAGAGGTTGTGGAGAAAAAGGAACCCTCATACACTGTTGGTGGGAATGCAAACTGGTGCAGCCACTATGGAAAACAGCATGGAGATTTCTCAAAAAATTAAAAATAGAAATACCTTATGACCCAGCCATCCCACTACTGGGTATCTATCCAAAGAACTTGAAATCAGCAATTCCAAAAGTCCCATGCACCCCTATGTTCATCGCAGCATTATTTACAATAGCCAAGATGTGGAAGCAACCTAAGTGCCCATCAACTGATGAATGGATAAAGAAGATATGGTATATACATACAATGGAATACAACTCAACCATAAAAAAGGATAAAATCCTCCCATTCACAACAACATGGATGGACCTTGAGGGTATTATGTTAAGTGAAATAAGCCAGATAGAGAAAAAGACGTACTCTGTATGACTCCACTCATAGGTGGAAGTTAAACATATAGACAAAGAGAACTGATTGGTGGTTACCAGGGGAAAGGCGGGGTGGGGGGAGGGCACAAAGGGTGAAGTGGTGCACCTACAACATGACTAACAATAATGTACAACTGAAATTTCATAAGGATGTAAACTATCATAATCTTAATAAAAAGTTTAACCAAAAAAAAAACCCAAAAACTTTCTCTTGTAGAAACCTGTCTCTTCCTTGCTTCCACCTCCTGACCTCCAGCTTACAAAGCCTCATTCATCTAAAACTACTCAGTTCCTGGTTGTCCCTTCCACTCTAGCTCCTGCCATCATCCTGGGAAAATTCATCTCCACCTCCAAAATCTCAAAAATTTCTGACATCTAAGTGAATAAATGAATGAATCTCTAATTCAGACGTCCCATTCTCTGACCACAGCATCCCATCCTTCCGGCTTGTTTGCTCCATCATTCCTATCTGCCTTAGTCTGCCCAGGCTGCAATTAAGAAAGTACCACAGACTGGGTGGCTTAAAAGCAGAAATTTGTTTTCTCACAGTTCTGGAGGCTGGAAGTCCAAGATCAAGTTGCCAGCAGGGTCAGGTTCCGGGGAGGGCCTCTTTCTGCCTTGCCGATGGCTGCCTTCTTGCTGTGTCCTCACATGGCCTTTCCTTGGCATGCATGTGGAGGGAGAAAGATCTCTCTCTCTTATAAGACCTCTAATTCCATCATGAGGGCTCCACCCTCATGACCTAATCTAACCCAAATTACCTCCCAAAGACCCATCTCCAAATATCATCACATTGGGAGTCAGGGCTTCAATATATCAATCTGGGGGGACACAAACATCAGTCCATATACCATCCTTAGCCTCATTAGGCCTTATGGTCTGTCAACCTTACTACTTTCTCCCCAGCTCTGTCTTCTCAGATTAGAGGATGTAAGCCATCATTTTAATTTCTATTGAGAGAGAGAGCATTTCTTTCTCTTGCCAACACCCTCCACTTTACCCCTTTCACCCTTTGATTGTATTCAACTAGCAAAACAGTAGCAGCGAATGAGCCTGATTGTCGGTCTTCTCTCTCCCTGTACCCTAGACTGCTGGTCACTGCTTGAGAGTCGCATGCCCAGGAAACCTGTACTGTGAATTCGCAGTCGCCAGCCTCAAACTGGGTCTTTCACAGCACCCAGCACTCCTACCAGCTTTTGCTACTCAGCTTATTTTCCAACTCTCACCAGTGGCTATTTCTAACCTCCACTCTGCATTCCTCCCTTCCTCCTACCTCCTAACAGATCACTTCTCCTCCGTTTGGAGAAAGGAGAAGCCATCATATGGCAGCTCCCCAAAACTTCTACCACCAAATCTTTAACCTACACCCTCTCCTCCCCTTCAGCGAAACAAGTGTCCTGCACAGAGATGGTAGATGGAAGCCGCCAGCAGATGGTAGATGGAAGGCTAGTCCCTTAGCTCTGCTCCACCTCTGCCCCCAGATCTGGGAGCAGCTGAAGGTAGGGTCTGCTCTTTGTCTGATGTCTCCTCTCCATCCCCCCCACCTCAGGAGTGGAGACTGGGGATGGGCAAGTTGTATCTGGAAGGGTGGGAGAATTTCCCTCAGTGGAGGTGAGGCCCTTACGGGGAGCACAGGTGCTCCAGGTGCTGGGGAGAGTCTGCACAAAGGCCCAGGGCTGGCTCACGGGGAGATTTCCCCAATCTGCCTTGCCCCATTCTGTCCCTAGTGTCTGTAGCCAGTTGTGCCCCTGGAGTAGAATGCTGCTCCTACCCCATCATGAGGACCTCCCTGCCCCATTGTGACACTACTACCCGGCCACCAATGGAACCCAAGAGTTCTGCTTCCAAGAGTCTGGCTGGGCCTGGATTGTGGTCAGGTGGGCCCTGGCTTTGGCTTGTGGTCCTGTCTCCAGGGAGGAGGGACTGGGAGGGTGTGGAGGGTGGCAAATTATGATGACACTCGGCAATTGTGGGGCCACGTTCTCAGCACAGGTGTGGACAGGAGCCTGCCGGGGCCCATTCGGCTGTGGGGAGTCTGTGGAAGGAGCAGGCTGCCCTCACAGGAAGCGTGAGTTCTCAGGTGTGGCATCTGGCCATTTCCTGCCCTCATATGGAGCGCTGCTCCTGGCTATGTCCCTTTTCCGGGCCTCAGTTTCCTCTTTTGTACACTGAGAACCAATTGTCTGGGGCCTGTCCACTTGGCAGGGGACCTTTGGGATCAGTAGAGGAGCAAAGGCTCTAGGGCCGAGCAGGCTATTAGCCCCCTGTGGGCATTCAGGTGATGCTGGGGGGAGACTAGGAGGGGTCCTGCTGAGGAAGGCTGGTACAGCTGGCTCCAGGCCTGAAAGCCAAATCTCTGTGAGGAGAGCAAAGTTTCCCTTCCGCCCTCCCTGGGACGTCTCCTCCGTCCACCCTTCTCCCCCTCTAACCTTCCCCACTGTGTTAGTTTCCTATTGCTGCTGTAAAAAATTGCCACAAACTTAGTGGCTTAAACAAGACATTTATTACCTCATGGTTCTGGAGGTCAGAAGTCCAAACTGGGTCTCACTGGGCTAAAATCAAGGTGTCCATAGGGCTGCGTTCCTTTCCAGAGGCTCTGGGGGAGAACCCATGTTCTTGCTTTTCCACCTTTAAGAGGCTGCCCACATTCCTTGGCTCATGGTCCCCTTCCATCTTCAAGGCCAGCAATGGCTGGTCACGTGTTAATGGACGGAGCTAAAGTTGATTCATTTTCACTGCTGTATTGTATTTCACTATATACATATACCAGTTTATCCCTTCTTCTACTGATGGACATTTGGACTCTTTTTTTTCATATTTGAAGTGTGTTGTCATGAACATTTTGGTACTAATTTCCTGCATCATATGTACAAATATTTCCTCAGAGTACCTGGGAGTAGAATTGCTGGGTCATAAAATATGGGAATATTCAACTTTATAAGACAATGTCAACTTGTTTTCCAAAGTGGAACTAGGAATAATCCTGCCAGAAATGTATGAAAGATAGACCGTCTCTAGCACTTGGTATGGTCAGACTTTTTAAGTTTTGTCAAGCAAATGAGTGTAAACATCTCATTATGGTCTTGATTTGCATTTTCCTCATTATTAAAGAGGTTGAACATCTCTTCATATGTCGGTGGGCCACATGAATTTCTTCTTCTTGAAATGCCCATTCATGTCTTTTGCTCATTTTTCGATTGTTTTTTTCCTATTGATTTGTGGGGTTCTTTACATATTCTTGATCCTAAACTTTTTTCTGTAATACGTTTACAAATATTAGACTCCCACTTGTGATGTGATTTTTTTACTTTAAGATTTTCATTTTTAAGTAGTCAAATTTATAATTTTTAAATTTATGGTTAGCATAAAATAGCATAGCTTTTGTGTCCTGATTAAGAAATCATTCCTCACCCGAAAGTAAAAAATATATTCCTGATTTTTTCTACTAAAAGTTTTGTCTTTGAAATATAAATCCTTCGTAAGACTGGTATTTTTGTTCATGGTGTGCAACAGAAATCCAATGTTAATTTTTGTCTGTTTACTGATCTGTCATGTTACTCTCCTACTCTCTCTCATGTATCAAAACTTTATTTGCGTAGATCTATTCTGGGCTTGCTATTTAGCTATTTCTGTGTTGACACCACCTTGCCTTTAATGAATATAACTTTATACTAAATTTGATATTTGGCAGGACAAATCATTTCTCCTTGTTATTCTTCAGAACTGTCTTAAGTATTTCTGCCCTTTGTTCTTCCATATTAGTTTTAGAATCATCTTGACAGATTTCACGAAAAATACGTTTTGGATTTTGACTGGAGTTGTACTGAATCTACAGATTGATACAGGGAAGAATTGACAACTTTTCTTCATGACCATGAAATGTCCGTTTATTTTTCTTCCTTAACATACTTCTGTAAATTTTATAATTGTTTTACACACAGGTCTTGCACATATGTTTAAACCATTTTTTATTGTGGTAAAATATACATACCATAAAATTGATCATTTTAACCATTTTAAAAAATGTTTAGCTTTGTTGAGGTATAATTGACAATTAAACTGATAAGATATTTAAATTGTACATTGTGAAAGGATTCCCCCCATCTAGTTAATGAACACATCCATCACCTTGCATATTTCCCTTTCTCTTTTTTTTTTGGTGAGTATATTTAAGTTCTACTCTCAGCAAGCTTCAATTACACAATACAGTATTGTTAGCTATAGTCACCATGATTTACATTAGATCCTCAGATCTTATTCATCTTACAGTTGAAAGTCTGCACCCTTTTACCAGCTTCTCCCTATTTCCCCCACCCCCCAGCCCCTGGCAACCCCTTTTCTACTTTCTGTTTCTATGAGTTTGACTTTTCCGTTTTTATTTTTTAAGATTCCACAAATAAGTGATACCATGCAGTTTTTGTCTTTCTCTGTCTGGCTTATTTCACTCAGCGTAATGCCCTCAAGCTCCATCCATGTTGTGGCAAATGGCAGGATTTCCTTCTTTCTCACGGCTGAACAATATTCCATTGTATGTATATACTACATCTTCTTTATCTACTCATTCATGGATGGACACTTAGGTTGCTTCCAAGTCTTCGCTATTGTGAATAATGCTGCTATGAACATGGGGGTACAGATATCTCTTCAATATTCTGTTTTCATTTCTTTGAAAATATACCCAGAAGTGGGATTCTTGGATCATATGATAGTCTTACTTCTAATTTTTAAGGAACCTCCATATTGTTTTCCACAGTGGCTGTACCAATTTATGTCTCTATCAACAGTGAATAAGAGTTCCCTTTTCTCCACATTCTCACCAACACTTGTTATCTCTTGCCTTTTATTTTTTTGGGGGGGTGAGGGAGATTGGCCCCGAGCTAACAGCTGTTGACAATCTTCCTCTTTTTGCTTGAGGCTGCTGAAGTAGAGCACACAAGCTTAACCACTACACCCCCAGGCTAGCCCTTCTCTTGCCTTTGTGGTAATAGTCATTCTAACAGATGTGAGGTGATATCTTGTTATAATTTTGATTTGCATTTCTCTGATGATTAGTGATGTCGAGCACCTTTTCATGTACCTGTTGGCCATTTGTGTGTCTTCTTTGGAAAAATGTCTATTGACTTTTTCTGCCCATTTTTTATTTGGAGTGTTTGTTTTTTGCTAATGAGTTGTAGAAGTTCTTTCTTTTTAACCATTTTTTACAGTTCAGAGGCATTAAGTACACTTACACTGTTGTACAACTGTCACCATCATCCATCTCCAGACTTTTTCATTTTCCCCAACTGAAACTCTGTACCTATTTAACAATACCCCCTATGCCCTCTCCCCACAAGCCCTTGGCAACCGCCATGCTGCTTTATGTCTTTATTTATTTTACTGCTCTAGGTACATCATATATGTGGAATCATACAATATTTGTTCTTTTGTAATTGGCTTGTTTCACTTAACATAAGGTCTTCAAGGTTCAATGTTGTAGCATGTATCAGAATTTCATTCCTTTTTAGGGCTGAATAATATTCCCTTGTGTATATAAACCACATTTTGCTTATCTATTCATCCATCAGTGGGCACTTGGGTTGCTTCCACCTTTTGGCTGTTGGGAATGGTGCTGCTATGAACACTGGCGTACGGATATCTGCTTGAGTCCCTGCTTACAAATATTTTGGATTTATACCCAGAAGTGGAATTACTAGATCAAATGGGTAACTCTATTTTTAATTTTTTGAGGAACTGCCATACTGTTTTCCACAGTGGCTGCATTTCACATTCCAATTCTCAATGCACAAGGGTTCCAATTTCTCCACTTCGTTGCTAACACTAGTTTTCTGATTTTTTAAATAATAGCCATCCTAATGGATGTCTTGTATGTATTTTTTTAGATTTGTTCCTAGTTTATATTTTCTTAATAATATAAATGGCATCTTTTCTCAATTTCCACGTTTTAAAAAATCTTTTTAGTTTGAAATAATTTTAGAGTTAAAAAAATTGCAAAAATAGTACACAGAATTCCCATTTATCCTTTGCCCAACTTCCCCTAATGTTAGCATCTTACATAACCATAGTACAATTATCTAAACCAGGAAATTAGTGTTGACACAATACTATTAACTAATCTAGAGATCTTACTTGAATTTTGCAAATCATCCCACTAATGTTTTCCTGGTCTGGAATCCAATCTAGGCTCTCTCGCTCCATTTAGCTGGCATGTCGTCTTCATCTCTCCAATCTGGAAAGGTTCCTAACGCTTCTTCCTTTACGCTTTGACACTTTCAAAAGTACTAGTCAGTTATTTTGTAGAATGTCCCTAAATTTGTTTGGTGTTTTTGCATGATTATATTAATTATGCATTTTTGCACAGTTAGTTATGCATTTTTGGCAAAAATACCTCAGAAGTGATCATGTGCCCTTCTTACTGCATGATATCAAGGGGTACATGATGTCAACATATCCCATTACTGGTCATTTTAACTTCAATCATACAGTTGAAGTGGTGTCTGCCAAGTTTCTTCACTATAAAGTCACTGTCTTTCTCTTTGTAATAGGTAAGCATCTTGTGGGGAGATAACTTGAGACTGTGCAAATATTTGCTTCTCATATTTTCATCCTCTAATTTTAATACTGAACAATGATTCCTGTCTGCAACAATTAACTGACGTGCTTGCCAAGTGGTGATTTTCTGTTTTCATCATTCCTTCTATATTCATTAATGTAGAATTCTATTGTGAATAGCTGTCCTTTTCCCCCCGTTTGTTTATTCAATTACTCATTTATATCAGGTATATTTATTCTATAGATTATAATCTATTACTAACATTATTATTTTGTTGCTAAAATTGTCCCAGACTTGGTCATTAGAGGCTCTTTCTGTTTGGCTCCTGTGCCCTTTTGACATGTTCCATCATTTGGGGGGCATGACCTTACTTTCTGGTACCACAAGACATTTCTCACTCGTCCTGTGCTTTCCCTGCCCCAGCCCTGGAATCAACCATTTCTCCAAAGAACTCTGGTTCTTTTATTTAGAAACCAAGATCTGAGTACTAGGTGTGATCATTTCTACTCAGGGGTTATTGCTTCTAGGCC